ACCTTCCGGTTACAGATGCGATTCCCAACCCCCTGAGCCACAGTCGCCCCTATAAGCCATAGTCATCAAAAGGAAACAGTAAATATTTTGCAATGTTTCACTTGTAACGAGTATATAATACCTCAAAGTTTTGACCATGTTGTATTAGATAATGGAGAATAAAAATAACATTTTCACTTTATTTTTATTTCTTCAGCTGCACGAGTACATAATCAGTGGCTTGAGTCTCAAAAGAGGAGCTGTTCACCATCCTTTCAGCAGTAGACTGTACTGTGTTTTTAAAATGTTTTTCCATTTGTGCTGTCATCCGTGTTCTAAAAGTAGACTTCTTTATTGTAGGATGTCCTCTTTTGAAAACAAAATTATCTAAAAAGCCTCTATATTTGGTATCTGTTGTTGCCAGGCAACAAAATGCAGTCCCAGCTGAATTTTTTTTTTTAGACCCTGAAGATTTTAAGCTATTTAACCAAATACTTAAAGGACTGACATGGAGTTAAAGTGGATGTGTAGTGGGAAAGGAAAAAAGAAGGGCTAGACAGAAGAAGATGACTAGCTGAGTGACAGGGTGACGGGCTGGCCGGCTTCCTGGTTTCTCGCAGACTGTTGTCAAACTCAGTCGATCTTGGAGAATCCCAGTGCTGCCATCTGGGTTTAACGGGAGCTTCATCCTGGCACTGCCTACTGGTACAGATGGCATAAGGATACTATGTCACTGTTACAGTAGACTTGAGTACAATAGAATAGAGCAGAGCTGCAAAGTCACAGGTCGGTTTAAGTCTTCACGGGGAGCCACAAGATTTACTGTACCTATATCTAATTTTTTCCAGGGGCCAACATAATTACTCTAATTGTACTACTCTAATGGTACTTGTTATCATGTTGTCATGACCTCCCACACAAGCAGTCCAGACCTACAATATAATTTATTTCACACAGTGTTTAAACTGATCGAAAACACATCCTGACTGTCGCTGCTGTTTTGGAAAGAAACTCTTAGCATTCGGATGATTGGGAAGAAGTATACTGAAATGCTATTAAAACAGTCTAACACCCAATGTCTAATCTTATTTATTTTACAGCATTAAAATGGGTCTAATCTGTTGTATTTGTTTATCGAATCCTATTTTATTCATGGATTTGACTTCCTGTAGAGCAGATCTGCAGGTATGAGTGCTCTTCTGCAGTAACACACATAACGCACTCACACAGTTGCACACCTAAAGCTGCCTACTGCCAATGCACTGTGTCATGCTGGCCTCTGAGCAGCCTCACTATGCCGTTATGGGCAGTAGAAATAAGGCAGGGACAGCTGCTGTCACCCTCCTTAGGCTAATTTGTCCTGATGTTCCTGCCACAGTCCTGCTTCTCAGATCTCAAACCAGTGCCTCTCTGTGTGGAATGATTTGCAGAAATGTAAAGTGTTGATTTAATCGAGGATTTTGGAAAATGACGATGCTCATCTTTCCTAATCCGCATGAAACGTGCAGCTGAGGTGTAAAACCGCAGGCAACAGATTACACTTCAGAGTGAAACTCTGAGCTGAGACACAGGCGTACGTACAGGAAGTTTAGCTATTACTTCACTGCCAACCTGTTTGTACTTGTGTTGCCAAGACTGAAGAAAGTGGGCATTTCTGTAAAGTGGATTTAAGCTCTGCTGAGTGAAATTGAAATAAACAAATAGTATTGAATTGGCTCGTGCTGCCTGTGAATGAACTGATTAGACTTAGAAGCCTCAAAACAGCAGCCCACTCAGATGACTACTGAATGTAAGCAGCAGTTTGCACCACACTGAGCTCTGGGTAAGGCTGCTCACTTAGCATCCATCATGTCCTCCACAATGCCAGCAGGGTCCCCGGCTGCTTCCACCACTGCATCACATGTGTGGCTCGTCTTTGATGTTTGTGTGTCTTGTGTCATGCCACTATAGGCCAGTCAGTGTGGAGATAGGCATCATTACCAACAGTTGTGCTGTGAAATTAAATAATGAGCAAGCGAGAATAGGTTAAGATTCAATGACAACGTGGCACCGTTGCCTTTCAGATTCACATTTTACTTTGGATGCTAAAATGATGGTCAGGAGGAGGAGGGACACATTTATCACAGAGGCCAAAGATTAGTGTGTGTTTAGCAGGGTGGGTTCAGATACTGATATTGCTGGTGACTTGTCATACGTAATTTAAAGAAAAAGAGACGTTTGTTTGGAATGCAAATAGTTACAGTATAAAGCACAATGGATAAGTCATTTATAAATATAAGGACTGATGGATTACTACTGTCTGTTCGTATTAACTTCAATAAAGGGCTTTCTTGGTTTATCATTCTCTAATATGCCATCAAATCCAGTTATAAATACTACAAGTTGGTGATTAGTGGATTTTAGTCCAGGCTTATTTGCAGGACCCTTATAATTAAGTTAATAATTGTTAATAAGAATCTTTTAACAACGTGGCAACTCATAATTGGTTGTAGCTTGTAGCGGAACTATAGAGTTAAAAGATAATTTCTTAATAGTTAATAAGACATTATTACATCATATCATCCGTTAAAAGACATTGCCTTATAAGAGCGTGGCGTTTGTTTAAAATAAACCTTTTCATTGAATATTATCTCTAATCGAAACCGGGCTATTTTTGCGCACCAAAATAGAAAAAAAAACCTCATAGGAAAAGATGGAGGCAGCATGGCAACAGTCTCAGAGACAAGCTCGACTTCACGTGCACGCGCACCTGCACAATGAGATAAAAGACGACTTCTCCTCTTTGCTCTCACAAACTCTCACCCGTGCGCGATTACCGCACACAGGCGCGCACATCCACGCGTCCTCGTTCCATCTTCATCCATCTTTCCTCCCCCTCCTCTCTCTTTCTCTCTCTCTCTCTACGAGGGACGTATGGGAGGGGATGCTCGTGCTGAATGTGTTTTTTCCTGCAGCGTGCTTTACGGTACCGGAGAAGAAGAAGGAGAAGCACGCCGTTCCCCTCCGTTGGTCACGGAATCTGTGTTGTGACATTGCGCGCCTGCTTCTTATTTTCTAAATGGACCGAAGGGGATGTGACTGAAAGCAGTGTGTAGTCTGCGCGCGTGTAACCGAGTTGGATTTAAACCTGACCCTGAGATGAATCACACTGCCCCGGTTGATGCGCTCATCTCCTCCGTCTTCTGGCTTCGGGGGCACTAAAGATGCGGCTGATAGCGCGGGTACCTGTCCTGGTTTCACACCGGTTCGGTTTGTCCCGGTAGACTGATCCGTCCGGTGCTGCGGTTTCCAAAGGGGCGAGCTGAGTGATTTTTTTCTTTCTTAACCGGATCCGTCACCAGCAGCCTGCCAGATGGATAACTACTCTACTTTACAACGTAAGGCGACAGTGACAGACACATACCTGCTGCCGTAGCCCATTTCATGTTAAGTCTGTGCTAATGATGGAGTTCCCTTAATGAATAACCACATTAATCTGGGGTTAGCAAAGACTGCAGCTGAAGTCTGATTTTACTGGATAAAAAACAGAAAAAAATAACTTAAATAAATATTAAAATATCCTGTAAATGTCCACAGGAGGGACATTTGATGGTTTTCCCTCATGTTTTGTCACGACCATACATTTTTCTTGGGCTGACATCACGTGACAACTTGAATGGCATTTTTCAGAATTTGGTGAGCTTTGCTACTGAGCATCTGAACAGTGGCACTGTACACCGTATTTAATAATTTGGCGCTTAAATGTACGCACAAATTAAGCCCCTTCATCCTTTCATAGACACCCCCCACCCAGGGCCTTTGAAGCTCCGAGATGAGCTAATGAAACAACCATGACTGCAGGATCAGGGAGAGGTGGGGTGTGTGGGGGGATAATATATGATGCAGTGTCACATACCCTCTTGTCTTGACATGTAGCCCCCAGCCCTGTTGCCATTATAACGTCATGCTTTCATATAATGCACCACATTCACACCTGTTAAATCCACCACCTTGAGGTATGCTGTGCTTATTAGACTATCTGCACCATTATTTAGCTGTATCGGTTTGTCATGCTTGTTGTGAGCCTGTAATGATAAAGGCTTATTAACCATCTGCCTAAATGGTTTATGGCTGCAGTTATGCACCTGTAGAAGGTTATGGCTTTTTATTAACTGGATCATAATTTTTACAGATACAAGCTCTAATTTGTTGTCCATGTCTCTTCTGTGTGTGTATGTATGTGACTTACAGGGCTGTAAACCAACAAAAAGAGCCTTTTTTCCTTTTTAAAATCAAAGAGAATATTTAATTCCAATCTCAACTGCAACATATTTTAAAGCTTCTCTGTCTTTGTTGCTCCTAAGACGGTTCTATTTATACACTCTTTTTCGACAGGGCTTTGAAGTCGCTGCTCATTTTGGTGTCATTTTGCAAAAAAACACTATTATGTGTTCAGCACTGGTTTCTTTCTTTGGGCACACTGATCACAACAGCTTACATGCTGCATGTGTAATTCTCCAGACATGGAGAGTGATCTGCCACATCTTCAGGATACATGAGATATAGAATACCATGTAGATTTTTTAGGGACTATAAAGGGATTTTTGAGAGGTTGTCAGGTAGAAATGTGTACCAGTAATGGAATCTAATCAAGTACCTTATAGCCATGGATTGTATTTAACGCCTGTATGTTGAAGATTACTTTTCAAACCAAACGTTCACTGAGACTTTCGAACACAAACCACTGGACTGATCAATAATTTTCAAGGGAACAATTCACAGGACTCAGTTACTGACAGATGGTTGTAAAACTGATATTTTTTTCAAATAATAATAAAAAACTGACCTTGCAAACACTTCATGAAGTAGTTCACAGCAGTTGATCTGTTATAATAAAACTCACACATTGATGAATCTCTGGTGTGGTTACATGTATAACCCCTTCTTGCATTTGCACATTGCTGCTCACACATTTCCTAAATTATCTCATGAATAGATAACAGAACACTTGCAGTAGTTTTCACTGTTTCCCTCTTTGTGGAATTTGTTTTCTCCTTTGAATGATGATCTGCCAGTTGTTAGCAACAGCTGGATTAGTCCAGTATTTAGCAGCTGCCACAGCTTAGTCGATATTGTTTCACCTTGTGAGTCTGTATCTGTAGCGCACAAAAATATGGTCCTGGCTACATCTACCATAGCAGGAACTACCATTTTGAGTACTTCTGCAGGTGTTTATGTGCCTATCTGTTGACAGGGTTTTTCAAGAATTGGTGTCATAACCCTACAAGATGCCGTCGTGATAGTTTACAAGTAAGCAGCAGTCATGAAAATCAAGTTCAAAGATGGTTGCAGTTTGACCCATGGGTAATGATTATTTTAAGAATGCACAGTGTGATACCAGTGCAAGATGGTCAATAGTCAGCAACTTAATAAGTGGATCTTTTGATTATTGCTTGGTTTCTATAGAGTAATATTTTCAATTAAAATGGCCAAACATTATCCAATTCCACCTTCTCAGTGTGAGAATTTGCTGTTTTTCATCATCTTATTGAAACAGCTTTTTGGTTTTTAGACTATTGCTTGGGCAAATCTGTGTTTTTATGCCTGTCTGTTATAGCTGAGCAAATGAATAATCTGTCAGTTGTCGAAATAAATAGCCATCTCATTTATACTGAAAACCCTAATTATTTATTAATATACTTTATGGTTGGTACTTAATCCCTTGTCTTTGGCATTTGGTGGTTCCCGTTTATGAGAAATACTAAAGACAGAAGAAGGTTTTTACATACGAGCACTTAGTGATGGTGAAATAAATAATATTCAGGTAACTGCAATTTTGTCATCATCAGTTTTCCGTATTACTTACATTTAAACCCATCTATAGATGTACTCATTTTGTCAGTCTAAATTAAGCATGCCTAGTACCGAGGCTTCAGATCTAAGAAATGATAAATGCATTAACATTTCCTCTTCAAAGAGAAAACTTGCATACAGATAAAGAAGGATGAGTGGCTCAGTGTTCTACTGCTGCTCCACTTTAGCTCTGACAGGACACTGCTGTTTCTTGCTGCTGCTGCTGCTCCTGATGCTGCTGGTTGCCTAGTGACTGTATCCATGGAACCGGCTCCCATCGTCATGGTGATGGGCCAAGGGAGAGAGACCCAGTGAGGGAAGGGGGACAGAGATACCAGTACATCTGCAGTGTGTGCTACAATGATGAGGATGAATTGTAATATCATGAAGGATGATGATGATGAAGACTGTAATGCTCTGATTGCGATATTCTGGTGTTTTCAGATGTAGCGATACCACTGAAAAGCATGGAGAGGCTAGTTTGAAACAGAGAAAATGGTCATGTGGTTGCCAAAATATGAAAAATATGTCAAGGCAGTGGTTAAATGTAAAAGCCGTACTGCTATCCATGGATGGCTGGATCGATGGGTCGATGGTCTGTAATAGCATTGCAATAATTATCAGAGCTTAATTAGCAAGATTAACCTCGAACTATGTTCATAATATATTTATTAAGGTAATTTCATAAACAGCTAGCTGGCTGAGCACACACTAGCAAACATGCTGAGCACACATGTTTGCTAGTATTGTTGAAAGGAAATTTTTGTTGTATATTTTTACTTTGTTCCATTAAATGATTTACAGGTGTCTAAAGCAATACTGTTTGATATAGATCTAACAGTATCATTGTAATATAATTTACATTGGGTGGTGAAGGATATTTGCCAAGCTAGCCATTGAGATGAGATATAATTTTTCTAGTGCTAAGATTAGCAAGCAAGATACATTCATCTATCTAGCTGTAACTTAACTACACAGCACAAATCCACTGTTATCCACTTAAGACTTTATTTTGCTTTGTAAGGTAGTTTGCAGTTCATCTGTGTTAGCAGTGATGCTAGCATTAGCTAATATTAGCTAGAAGATAAAACGTCTTCTAAAAACAAAGCAATACCGCCATGTATCTAATGCCCTGCTTATGTCAGCCGTAGCTTTACCTGATAGCCAACTTCCTGAAGCTCAGACAGGCTTTGTTAGATAAAACTGGCTACCCTTCTGAGTTATGTTTGGGCTAATGGAGCCCAATTGATTTATTGGCAGGTCGATACCATCTGACGAACTATTTGCTGATCTATGTGTATGAAGTAATAACGGTCAAAAAGTGAAAAAAGAGCACTCTAGAACTTCCCTGTTGGCAACATGTATTTGGAATGCCACAAACAGGACAACCAGCTGATCCGAACAGTCGGACCAAGTGTAAACAAGTAAATAAAGAACTCCATATAACAAATGTCAGGTAAATGCCTATGGTTCGTGTGTCCAAAACAAAACATATACTTAAATACCATAGTTTTAAATCACCAAATATCAGACTGTAAAATCCTAAATCGGTCAGGCTCTAGCAGATAATTTGCTTGATACCTATAGGCAGTATACAAGATACATTCTGGGTCGGAAAAGTGAAGTCAGCTTAGACGAGGCTTACACCAGCGCTCGTTTTAAAGGCTACCGGTGACTGACAGCTGTGATTGCAAAAAGCCTTTGGGTCCTATAGAAGTGTGTGGCAAGTCAGCCCTTGCATCTGACCTCAGTAAATACTTTTGTGATAAGTTTAAGGGCTCAGTGACTTGTTTTGTGTTATAGTAAATAATAAATAAAGTTCATTTTGTAATTTTCATCAGAGTCAGAAAGACTTCACAGTAAGAGTTGCCGCTCATACATTAAGTTTGTTTTCAGTGTACCAAGATGGTGGAAGTTGCTTAACTTTCATTTATTGGAGCATGACATAACACTTTCATTGTGTTGATCAAAGCTTCAAAGATAAGTAAATACATTTTGAAAGCATAGCAACAATATCTCTCCAAAAAAGCTTTACCTGGTTACTTAATAATGACACTCGCCAACATTTCACCCTGCAGAAGGAACCATCCATGTGTCCATTAGACATTAATAGCATCCCCTTTGGCTGAGCTAGTGGAGTACTTGCACTTCCTATGTTTGACAGGTGTAGTTTGTTTGAAGGAAAATATTTCCTACCTAAAAGTGCTGACAACAAGGTTTGGGTAAATGTAATCAAGAGAAAACCAGAGTCTAAAACTGGGCAACTAAAGTCAACCCTGGTCAAGAAATGGAATGTTTTAACAAGTATCAGAAAACATTTTTATCTTTTTTTTCATGTAAGTGTTCATGTAAGATTTTTGGATGGCATGTGGCTTAAGCAGCCATGTGTAAGCCCAAAAGACAAACGAGACCATTTTTTTCTATGCTTCTTAAAACCATATTAGCTTACACTAGGAAACCCTTGCAGGATTTTAGAGGAGCTCAGAGGAGCAGAGCGAGGAGTGGAGTAGAAGGGGGAGGGAGGAGGAAGAGACAGAAACATTATCCTCTTCGTCACGGCACGTACTGTACTGTAGGTTCACACAGGCTGTATGAGTCCGTTCCAAACTGGTCTCACAGAGGATAAATTTATCTCAGTCTTGTTGTTCATTTCTCTGGTTTAATGTGATTTCAGTCTTTTTTAAAAATGTGAGTACAGATTTGTTCAGGGAGCATCCGTTCCGTCCCTTCTCTAGTCTCCGTGGCAGTGTTGCCATGGTTGCATCATTCACATTGTTCTCTTGAGGGTGACATAATAATTTGGCTCAAGTTAGAGATTGTGGCTCCTTCACAGTATAACAGGGACATTACATTTGCTGTTAATATTAGTATTTTTTTTCCCACTGGAGTTCCTCTTCATTAGTATTTTTTTTAAAAACATTGAACACTAAAGAAGTGACCAAAACAATTCCTTAAAAATATTTATCCTGGTTCAGGCTTCTTAAATGCAACAATTTATTTTTTTAATGTCACTGGAAATTGAATGTCTTTGGATTGTGACTGTTGTGTAGATAAAACAAGACATTTGCAAAGGAAACTTGTACATTTTTTACAATAAATTTCAGTCTATAGACCAAATAACTGGTCATGTCAGGTGAGTTATCAATACGTTGTCTTGTACTTATCACAGGTACACTGCCATATAAGTTGTTTTATACATGTCAGAGCTACAGAGCAGAGCTACTCTAACTCCGCTGTTGCAACAGGCCAGCGACAGAGTTTGAATTGAGCAGAGTCAAGCTGTGTCTTCACGGTGAGTTGCTAGTTTGGCAAATTCATTGCTACAAAGTATCCAGTGTTTCAAACTAAGTAATACACAAGAAATCAGACACGCACTGTGTTATTTCTGCTGTGCTGTGCAAGCATGTTACAGGAAGCACAACCAGATCCCTGCTGTAATTGTCCTTATTATTAAGTCTCCGTGGCTGCTGAAATAATATTCCAAACTGCAGAATGCCTGTTGTAGCAGTGTCATACGTGTCCTCGGGCTTCACTTTAAGATCCACAGCTGCGGTGCACCAGGAGCATCTTTTTTTGGAAACACTGACAGGGCAGGTCGAGGAGCTTCTGGTATTTCTTTGTCACAACCGTAGTCTCCCCTGATCTAATGTGACAGCTACAAGAACACTAAAGAAGATGACCTGTCATTGACAAAGAGGAAGTCAGGCCAAGAAGTCTGTTCTGAGATAATGGATCTTTTCAGGGGTGCGGAAAGTAGGACAGTGGTGGAGTGGTGCAGGCACACAGGTGCCACAGCACAGTTCTACAAAAACAAGGAACGGCTTTTTAGATGAGGACACAATGATAGTGGGGTATTGAGTGGAAATGAACAGGTAAAAAACCCCCACCATAGGTAACCGTGCAGTTGCTAAACAACCTGGCAGGCTGGCAGCAAGCTGATTCACACGTTACAGTACGCACAGTGTGTGTAAGCGTGGATAATGGAAGTGTGGAAGTCTTTCACACTTGACCAGTATGTCACTCTGTACAACCTGCTGTGTTTGTGTGTGTACCTGTGTTTGTGTGTGTGCAGTTTTACTTTGCTCCATGTTGATGGGATGATGGGAAATGCCTTCATAGTAAAACAGCTTTTTTTATGAGTTCCTCAAATTTCCACACCTTTAGAAGCTAGAGAGATGACAAGATTTTATGTGAATCTACAACTTGGTGTGAAAAATACAATTTTAAACTGAGGAAAAATCCGTCAGTAACCTGTAATGGAAAATGTTAAAATCCTTATTGGCAGCTGCGGTACTTAAAGCTGAGAATCTGTAGTCAGCTTTGGACTAATTTTCTTGGTCTTAACTAAACACAAGTGGTCTGTATAGTATATAGTGTTTGGTCACTGGAAAATATGTTAAAGTTAACGCTCATTAAGCACCAGCACAGAATTGCAACCCAAACATTTTGCAGAGCCTCTCATGCTTTCCACGTTACAAAGCAGGAGATGATCTCTTTTACAAAGATCTGCAGAGCTCGTGAACTTCCTTTGCTGATAAAACAGCAGTAGCATGGCTGATAAACTGGATTTTATTTTTTCTAAATTGGATGTTTAGCTCAGATGAGAGCATCAACATTCATTTCCACAGTCACACGGATACAAAACTGGTGTAAAATCACCAGTCAAATGTGATTTAAAAAGTGCTTTTAAAAAAGTGCCAGAAAAAGAAGAGGAATGGTTCAAATCCTTCTGCTATGAATGCACACAATTTCTAACATCGTGGCTTTGTTTGGTCCAGTACCAGTTCTGCTCCTCCCATGAGGGCACTTCAGAAACGCCATACTATTTCACCTTATGAATACAGGAAATGTCAGCCTGACTGAATTAATGGCTACGATGTTTCCTGTTTAATTGCCTCTTCGGGGGCAGCAGCAGGACAGCTGCCTTCTTTTGCATTTCAGAATTGTCTCGTAGATTTCTATTTGGGATCCTTTGAGTCGCTTCCTTTTTTGACCTCCAGTATCTCTCTCTGGTCATACATCATTACCTTAAATTAATAGTAGCTGGCTTATTCTAACTCCCAGTCTGCTGTCTCTCAGTACTGGGTCTGACAAATTAGGTCACTGAAAAATATAAAATCACAAACTTTTTCTTGTTTTGTTAAAAAGTCCAAATTTATTCGAAAACAGCTGGTAGGTCATCCACCCGAGTACAAGAGACTAAATTAGGGAGGAATAGTTGAAGATGATGGAAGCAGGTTGGGTGAATGAGCGAGTATTGGTTTGTCGGTTTGGTCCTGGTTTTAATAGAGTGCATAGAAAGCACTTTGCATCTTAGCTGTCAGCTAATCTATTTTAGATTATATGAAAAGTGAGTACTACTTATGGTAAGGATGACATTTTTAACTCTTCCAAAACATGTGCCAAGTCTCAAGTGATGTAGTAATTGCTGGAGAGGACAGTGTATTGTGTGGGTACCTCCCAAGAGATTGAGGGATGAGGCAGGTCTTTTTGACCTTGTGCTGGTTTGTCCACGTGTTGCCATAGGCAACCCAGTCTCCTCTTAATGGGGCAAGAGCTCTGCCAGGGCGACTTTTAGAATGCCACTTTGTTTGAATTTAAGTACGAAACAGACCAAGAGCAACCCTAAGGCCTCTATCATAGTCTTTAAAATCCTTTCATCTGTTTCAGACTCGCAACATTTACAATCTTTTAGTGATGGCTGTTTCTGTTTAGCAAAAATAAGCGCAGCCAAGATGAAAATAAAAGCAGAACAGAATCTGACATGGGTACGGTGGAAAATCCATAACTGCAATTATTTTGTAATTAGAGGTAGTAGCATCTTTAACTGTCTGCATTACTCCGGCGTAATTGGAAAACAATTTGTGAAAAAGTCTCTGGAGAAAGTTTTGGAAAGCAGCAGAACAGAGTGCAGACAGACAAATGGGCAGGAAGGAGGATGGACGGGCGATGGAGTAATCTCCCTAAGTCGACAGCATCTGTCTACTGTCCCGCTCTGTCTGTCTCAGCTCAGCTGTCATGGCTATCAGACAGGAAGAGACTGTGAGATGGCGTGTCTCGGTGTTCGCTTGGGTTTGGCACACTTAGGCATTTTATCATTTCCATAGGACAGCTGTTTCTCTGTAACCATCACCTCTCCATGTTTATATGTTTAGGAGGCAACTGACGTTTTTCTTTTTCATTTTAGATCAAGTACCAGTTCCATTTCATACCAGTCTTTAGCAAATGCTGCTCTCTGGAGACTATTTTGGGCTACAGGTTAGGTGCATTTATGAATAGCAGAGCAGTGTATGTTGGATCGACTCAATGTTCGTTCGCATATAAGGTAATAGAGGAACTGGAGGAATAGAAGAGTTTTTGGAGAGGAGCGCTCAGAAATAAGGATTTGGCAATGCCATCAGTACTCAAGAGTTCTTTGTTGGCAATCAAAGAATAAAAGGAATCCCTGAAGTTTAATATATAAAATGTGTTCAAGAGCAACTTTTATTATGTTGGTTTCACTGTAATTGATGGTATAGTTCTCTGGCCAGATTTACATTACAAATCATACGTACAAGGATCAGATGCCGAAGTGGTGCCATAGCTTGATGTCACTTCCTTTAAGACTGTGGAGGAAGGTTTTTCTACCTTATATTCATTGATGAGTTCTAAAATGCTTTACAGTCACAAGCTCAGAAGGATAATAAAATACAATGTTGGTTATTTCTGCAGTAGACAGGTCTTAAAATGTGCCTCCTTAGGTAGAGGTACATTGCTGGTGCTGCAAGCTTGGTGCTGTTGCTGCCCATTACAACGTAGTGTGCTATCAATGATCTTGGTGACTGTGGTCCCAACGGCCTTCAGATCATTAACAGCCTCATCCCATGTAGTTTTGGGCTGATCTACCACCTTTCTCATGATTGTACCCATGAGGTGTGATCTTAGATGGTCGTTTATTATTTCTTTCATTTCCGAAAAATCTTCTCCCCAAGCGTCTTGCTGATGGTTGTGTAGCCCATTCCAGCCTGGTGCACGTCTACAGTCTTGTCCTTGATGACAGCTCTCTGGTCTTGCCCATGGTTGCCCAGAGGATGGAAACTGATTGATTGATTGATTGAGTGATTGATTGGTTGACTGACTGATTGTAATCTATGTGCTCCATGGGCACAAGGCCAATCTGTGAGAGCAAGAATGGCGGCTGACTTTTAGAGGATCAAATACTTATTTCACTCAATGATATGCAAATCAATTCATAACTTTTATGTTATGTGTTTTTATTCTGGGTTTTCTGTCTCTATCTATTAAAATGAAGCTATCATAAAAGTGAGAGATTCTTTGTTTCTTTGCAAGTGAGCAAACTTAGAAACTCAGCAGGAGCTCAGATATTTGTTTCTTGATTATATTTTGCATCATAACTCTGCATCGCAAACTCTTCAGAAACTTGGAATATAAATGTACTGAATTAAAAGTACAAGTTTTCCAGTTTGCATTGCAATTGATTAGATATGCACTTTATACACTAGCAGAAAGGACTTTGAAATCACAGTTATGTAAACACACTGACCAGATTTCTCTCTAGCTTTGCATGAAAACATTACGAGCAAAACACCTCTTTTTTTTAAATTACACACAAGCATGCCTGACATTAATTACTGCAGTATCATTATTGCAGAAATCATTGCCTTATTTTCTCTTAGCAAGCTGTATTTTAAAAACTCATTATTTAACAGTTTTGCCCGTTAATGAGCTCATCTCCCAGATGAAGTGTGGTACAGTTGTTTTGTTTGACAGCAATTATTCTTTACATTTGAACAATGTCCTCAGAGTCACTGTAAGCACTGATATGTGGAGAATGTTAATAGGCTGCTCCACTCCACGTGACTGAGGGGAGACTGCACTTTACCAGCAATTTAGCCATCCGTGCGATTATATAAATCACATGTGTGTGTATCAGTGTATGTGTGTGATAGAGAGAGAGGGAACTGCTGATTGTGAATTTTCACGTCATGTCACCATTTGATTTCCTGTTCAGAAAATCTTTCACATTGACCATTTTCACTATTAAAACAACTGCAGTGATGGCATTTATTCTCGATTGATCTTGAGCGGTTGATCAAAGGACTGATTGTTCAATTAGAATTGAGTTTTGTCTGAAACAGTGTACAGATCTGCTGTGTGAACAACTCGACCTGTGTTCTTCGAGAAAAAAGCAAAGGAGTCAAGAGTGGCAAATGTTGCCATTTTGGAGTTTCTGGCATGACAACTACAAATGACTTGTGGTCACTCTCATCAAACCTTACTTTGGCTGTGTCATGGGCAGAGCAAGGAGGCACACTAAGCTGGTCATCATGTGCTGCACAACACAAGAGCCACTCACACTGAGCAACAGCTAGCATTAGCTTTCCTGCCCCTTCTTATGTGACTTACAAGTGTCCCCGCAAACATTTACCAGGTAAACGTGCTGTCGTGTGACACTGAGGGTCAGCTGCAGCCCTTTAAAAAGCAAACATTGCCAAGGTTAGTTAAGATGCCGATGCGGTCCTTATTATCAAGGCCCCAGTCACACAAGCGTGGAGATCTCCTAGCCACCATCTGGCAACCACCCATCGCAAACAGAGAAATGCGTGTTCCCCGACCAGTTGCAGTGTGGCTGGTGAACGTTTTTGGCAGTCGTGCTCCAAACAGAAAACTTGACCTCTAAATTTGACCTTGATGTCAAGGTTACTGAGATTCAACTCCTAGGTTGTCTCGATCTGTGTCCGCGCCACCTGCCCACCCGGCCGTATGACAACAATACCCATCAGCCTTTGAGCTGATGGATAAAAACTAATCTTGCGTGTTCACTACATAGATTTCTTCCTTCATCCTCTCTCTCCTCATGTTGACTGTCTCTTTATCTCTGTAAAGCACAGATTACATTAGGACATGTGGCTCACAGGAAGTCCCAGACTTCTTGTGGGGTCTATAGGTTTGCTTTGTAACAATTTCAGCAGGATTTAAGCTCTTTATTACTTCATACTCTTCGTTCTAATTACATTCAGAGCAAAGATTTTAGATGGTGACGGGAAATCTTGCTGCCTCTCATATGGTGACAGGACAGGCTTTGAAAACAGCACAAAAGCATCCATAAGGAGCACCATATGGGAAATAAGATATTAAAACAGCTCAAACTGCAGGAAAGTCAAAATTTCCCACATGCCAACTATCCAGCTGACTGCCCCCCAAACTGCACAGGAAACAACAACCGACCCAGCAGCAGACGTAATCAATTCAGGAGTAAAATTTGAGCCAAATCTGCGCAGTGTCTGCCAAGATTTACAAAGCAACATAAAAATGATGACTTGAAATTAAACTTTTTCATGAATAAAAAGTGCTTACAATTACTTTATATGTTTGCGCAGAAATATGTGGACGTGTTACTTCCTTTAATCGGCCGGCCTTCGGATCCTGATGCATTAGATATATGAGTGTGAGGAGTGACGAGCAAATACAGAGTGTGTTTCTTGCAGTGACGTATCATTCCTTTTATTATCCACTAACAACTTAAGTGTGAATGCTTTGAGTTAAAGTAAAAAAAATAAATAAATACTGCAGCAACAAGAAGTGTCGCTTCACTCCTCCTTAGTTTATTTATGAAGCGCTGCTCTACAACAGTGATGTATTATTTGTGCGAATGTGCTTTCGGAGCACTGCGAATCGTGACGGTGAGGTTTGATGGGCTCGCGGACGTGGGAGTGAAGCGCCTCGACCTTGACTGTCTGGCCTGAATTTGCCTTGTGATGCCCACATCGCCACAGCAGCGGCACCGCGTTAAAGCGTTTTCTGCAGCAACTTTGTGTCGTGACTCGTGGGCTTAACATCAGCGTGTTCTCACAGAGCTTGCTTCCCGCTCTCACTGTTCTCCTCTTGTCTCTTTCTGTCCAGACAGAGAAGGTGTCTGCATTTATTCTGCTGTGCAACAGGCTGTGCTAAAGCACCACATACCCTCAGTCAGACACTTTATTAGGTACAGGTTGTTATTACTGGGTTAGACTCTCTTTTTCCTTGAGGACTGCCTTAATTCTTTGAGGTGTATATTCAAGAAGGTGCCTGAAACTTTCCTCAGAGATTTTTAGTTCATATTGACATGGACATGGTTAGCTGCATGTCCTTTTGAATATCGTAAGCGTAAACTTTTGAGAGGATTTTAGGTTTGTGACATGGCATGTTACCCTGCTGGAAGTAGTCATGAGAAGATCCGTGCACTGAATCCTTGATCCTTGAGCATGAATCCTTAGAAATAAGTCACAGAATAATTTATTTTGTGAGCATCAATACTATTACTACTGTGATATCACTTCTCTTTGTGGATTTTCCCAAGTGAACATAATATAAGCAGATGTTTGACCAGCTGTATGTATGATTTCTAAGGGTATAAACAGTAGAATTTAGAGAGGTAATCGAATCAGCACCTCAAATATAAATTGGTGTCTGCTACCCTTGATGCGACCTAGATGTAACCAGTCCAGCTTAGTTCATCACTGCAAACTTTATCTCAATACTACAAACTGTGCAGTGTAGCCTGCACTAAACTGCCTGGTACATTCATGCTATGTTTAAGAGACACAAAAGTAGTGCACTTCAGTTTGTTTTGCTAGATGTTTCACAAAAAACGTAATCCAGCAGCACATTTGAAAACTAAAATGAATCAGGACATTACATATAAAATCAAAATTTGTCAAATTTCTTCTGCTCCTGCCCTCTTTGTCTTACAGCTTTCACCACCTCTCAGTGTTTCACATTGAGGGTTTTTGTTACTATGTAATACAGGGACAAACTGCACAGTTTGTGTGTTTGATGATATTTGTGAGTTGTTTGAAAAGCTGCATTTGAAAATTGTCTGGTGCTTAAAACATTAATCTCCGTAGCGAGAAGGAAATGAGAAGGAAAAAGAGATGTGTTTGGAGCTGGAAGCAGACTTTGGGAAGTCGCATTATTTTTCCTTATTTCTAAGCATGCCGTCTCTGGAGGCAATACCAGGCTGCAGCACATGAAAAATGAACTCATTCAGTAGTAACATGCATTAACCTGCCTATCAGATTTAATGAATCATTGAGTGAAGGTGCCAGAGTGCTGTTCTGGATCGTTCTGGCCCACTTTTTTGTTTTGTGTTCAGATATGCTGCTGACTTCCTGTCAGGCTGCCCTTTTCTCTCAGACTTGTATCGTCAGCAAGGCGATTTTACCCACTGGATATTTTCACTTTTTCACATCATTCCCAACAAATCTTAGAGATCCTTGTGTGGGAAAATTCCCAGCAAATAAACAATTTCTGAAATACTCAGACCAACCAGTCTGCTCCACGAACAACCCTGCAACGTTCAAAGGCACTGAAATCACCTTTCTTCCCTATTCTGATGCTCAGTTTGAACAGCAGGTCGTCTTGTGATCGAGTGATTAGATATTTGCAGAAACGTGCAGTTGAACAGATGTGTTGTTGAGTGTATTTGTAGTGTGTAATTTAAACCTTATATGAACTTTTTTAAGGGGGCGTATGCCAACATCCCATATTACCTTGACATAAGCTAACTGTTATGTACAATAACTGGCAAATGTTGAGGGAGCTGGCAGCATAAAATATACTAGAAAAGCTGTTTGGTAATTTCTATACTTCTACTTTATAATGCTTTATTTAAATTAAACATTCACCGGTCGCACACAGTTGAAGAATGCAGTTATGTGAACCTGCGCGTTTGTGGTGATCACTCCAGGAAACGTGTCACTGTTTCCATTCATCAAATGCAATAATACAATGCTCCAGAATATATCGATGTGCTTTTTTGATTGGTACATTTTGGCCGTGTTTTGTTTCACTTTCTGTCTGTGTGTCTTTACCAGCAAATTCAGAACCAGAGTTATTATAAAAGAGGTTTGGATTTGTCATTTTATGCTGTTTATGTTGTTTTAGCCATCTCCGAGGAAGTTTAAGCAGCACTGAAATGTTTTCCTTGATGTATTTTTGGCAGATTAAACGTGTAAATAGTTTGTGAAACAAATTCAATGGGATGTTTTCCAATTTCAGTAGTTGTGAATGTCTCCAAAGCATGCTGATATTGACTACATAAACTAAGGTATGCATAAAATTGAATTGCATAAATCTTTTACACCCGTAGAAGAGAGATTGGTTGAAATGAATCAAGTGGTGGCAAAGATTTGTCAGATACACAAACTGAATATAAGACGGATGTAATCACAGAGTCAATGTGCCAGTGCCCTAAGTCTGGATTGTTTCCAGTGGCCAGCAGAGTTTGATTACTCTAGTTGGGTGGCGTTACGGTGGGTGTTTCTATATTTTCCACAGTCTTAGAAGCACTCAACAGCTTTTTACCTGACATACTTCACACCTACACTCAGATGCAGCGTGTTCAAAGAATTAGAACATGTCAAACATACTGAAATAACTTCCTTTCCCAGTTTATTTTCCCCACCTGAGGGACTAGCTCAGCAGTGTTGCATAAAGCTTGTCAAAATGGTGCTCTTAGCCATGGTTTTTGTAATTAGTGTTTTATGGTAATTTTGGGCAATTGAGTCCCCAGTTACCATAGCAACAGCTCAATGTGCAATTTCCATGGACTGTTAAGGAAAGCTTTAGGGATAAAAACTTACTAAAGGGTGTTTATGCAAATGGAAGCTGTCATGCAGGATGAGCAAACCCTGCAAATGCGGGCAGGGTTCGGGGGAAAGAGACGCTCATAGGTTTGAACCCTGCAGGTCACAGTGTGCATCAGCATTAGTGTGACCTTGAGGAAAATAGTAAAGCAGATCTCACTGCTGAAAGAGCGTGTAAGCTGGAAGATACCAACGCGCAGATGAAAAAGCCGTGGCGTCTAATCTTTCTTTTTCATCTAGAGAGGAGAGGAAAACAAGATGAGGGGAGGATAGAGGAGTGACAGAGGCAGCAGCAGGTGATAGATGGAGTGAACGCATGAATAGAGATCCAGACAGTCATGCACAGCTATCAGCTGGCAGTAAAAAAGAGAGATTGACTCCCGGCCAGAGTGAGAGAGAGCGAGAAAGAGGGAGGGATGACAGAAAGATGGAGAGGTTATTCCAGATAGCAGCAGGTCTCACAGTGTGTTCATGGAGACTTTTTCAGGTGAAGGTGAACTGTTCTCTTGCAGTCGGGACTGTTGGATCTGTATTCATCACATAGCAGGGAGACAAAAGTGGAAACCACGTCACACAATGGGGCTCAGCAATGTAATCGAGGAAAAATAACACTGTTGAATAGCTGGAATTTTTTATTGAGCATCTCTCAGCTCACTGCTTTATTTTTAGGGCCAGTGACTCTATTGTTCTGGTTCACTCTCAACTACTTTTCAGCATCATTACCATTCTCTTCAGGCAGCTGCATTAGAAAGAAAATGATTCTGATAAACCCACGGCGTGCTACTGAGCAGGTCGATAAAGTGGTGCGTGTGACCTGCTTAACAGTCAGATAACTCTGTTAGGCATTGGTGGAGACCAGAGGGCAAACAAAAAGAAGAGTGAATATTAGACTTCTATTTCCCAAGTGGTTATAGATATGAGTTTAAAGTGGGTGATTCTTTCTCTGAGTCTCTACACGTGTACGCGTTCAGCTGGTTGTCGTAACATGCCGCAACCGCCTTTTACACGATGACATGCCAGCCCTGTGTTCCAGTTTGCACACGTTTGCAAAGTTGCCGTTTTATAGACCTTCTCAGATTATCTGAATATTTTAGAGGTCTGAAAAAGTCAAACTATGTACTCCAAAATGTAAAAAAGTAAACCCCCGTAATAAATCACTGGATCAGATTGTACTCTACTTGAACTGGTGCATTTTGCGTTCCTATTTAGTCTGCAGAATCAAATTACCCTGAAACTTTGAGTAACAAGTGTCACTCTGTTCTATGATCTATGAATAGCTCCGAGCTTCTAGGTCAACAGTTTTGAAGACATGGCGCTGTTATCATAGACATCCGTATGCCTGTGTGTGTGTCTGTGCGTGTGTGTGTGTGTGTGTGTGTGTGTGTGTGTGTGTGTGTGTGTCTGTCTGTCTTTCTGGCTCTGAGCATTGGACGAGTTGCTGGGACACCAGCATGGCAAGGTGACCTCTAATAAATAACTAAATAACACGGAGACACACACACACAGACTCTTACTGGCAGTCTGAGTCCATGTTTTCAGCCCAGAAGTCCAAAATGTATACAGTAAATCAACAGTTCATAATTTTGTTTAACTTTTCTTATCAATCCTAAAGATACACACACGCTCCAGAAGTATGTGGTGTATGTTTCATATCCTTTTTTTCCACATGATGTAAGATCGAGGAACATTTGAAACAAGTTGAGTGAGAGCAGCTATTTTTGTCAGTTTGTGCTTTAACCATTTATCACAGTTAGAAAAAAGCAGAAGGTCAAACTAGTGACCATCACATGTGCGCTGAAGTAACAAAGAGAGATGCAGGCTCCATTTGTGATCTAGTGCTGACCAGCTTTGACTTGTTAAACCCTCTGACACCCAAAACCCAATGGCTAATGGGTCATCAGGGCTTTGTGTGTTGAAGTTAATTAGTGGTAAAAGAAGCATCTCTTACGAGAGATTTCAGCTTTATTGGCTGATTTCTGAGGGGGGGGGAAGTTGTAAGTCTAACCTGCCAATTCCATTTTTCTTTCCCAGAACTATAACTGACAGCACATACAAACAAAAATCATTACTTCTTCAATTAAAGACACTGGAAGAAATGATTAAACTTTACAATTCTTCTCCCAAACTGCACTAAGTCACAGGATTTACTCTCACTGAAACAGCTGAAAATTAAGTGCTGCTGGAAAGTGGTAACCATAACTAAGTCACCCTTACCTGACATATATGAATTTACTAAACATGAGTAAAGGCATCAGATTTATATTAAAGCAACTGTCAGGTACTTGCATCATTTTCCACTGTGTTTATAACTTAAAATAACGGGACACTTTGGTCCTTTGCTCATACTGAGGCTGCTGGCTTGTGGTTGGCTCTGAGCTCTGGATTATTGTCACAAACGTTTTCGTGTTGGTGCCCCCACGGTTAACCTTGGTGAACTTTGTGTCTTCACTCAGAATGAACAGGTTCCATGCTAACAGTGTGTGTGGATTGAAGTGTGTGCATGACTATTTCCCACTCTGCTCAAGTTGCACATGCTAAAATGGACTGCCTCACAATCACACGTGTGGAAAGTCGATCGCTCAGTGGTCCGGGCCGAGAACAGGTGATTCTGTTCCTGGCCGGTCAGTAAAAAAAAGACTAAATGGGTAGTCTTCTAAGTTTATAGTTTAAAATAAAAATATTTGTGCTTTTATTTAGAGGTTTTAATCGTTTTTTTTTACTTGTCCTGTTAACAGAACATATGTAGGTCAGCCATAATGAGCTGCAAAGTCTTTATTTAAGACTGTACACAGTCAAAGTAACCTCAGTGCTTTTAATGTGTTAAGAGTGTAGCTTTTACATGCTAAACAGGTCATTGTGAAATACAAAACAAATCCAAAATCTTTGGGAAAATGTGATCATATTCAGCAGAAATTGGCTTGTGCTGTGGTGAAGTTCTGCATTGGGTTTATGTGAAAAGACAAACTTTAATTTTGAAAAATAGCACAGATGCTTTCCTCTTTTCCTAATGAAGACAGGAGGCGGTTTTTTACTGCTCAAACACAGGATGATAAGTTTGCCTTCCCATTAAATTGCCTTCTGGAATTCAAAAATGGTTTTAGATCGAGCTGCTCCTGTATAGAAGAAACAAAAAGTGCTGTGCCTGGGTTTTAAGATGGCTCCCCTGCTTGTCTCTTGATAGAGGAAGCGATGGAGGAGGAGAAAGAGAAAAAGTTAAACCTGGAGACAGATTGAGGAAAAGCGCTGAGACACCGAGAGAATGAAAGGGGAAAAAAAGGAAGATAGAGCGAGGAGATGCGCTGGGGCATCTCAGGCAGAAAGAACTGGGCCACTGAGCACAACTCTGGAAGAAAAGAGATGGAAAAAAAAAAAGAAAAGAGTGGCCTGGAAAAGAGGGAGAGACAGTGAGAGATGACAGAAGGAGAGGAGAGGCTCATGTGAAGCCTTTCCTCTGTGAGCTTCACATATAGGCTACTGAAGAACAGTTGGACGAGCGAAGCCTTGAAATGAAAAACCAAATAAGTTGGTCTGGTAATGTTTGAGAACAGCCAGCTGTCTCTCTGTTGATCAGGATATCACTTTGCACTTTCCAACAAGCTGTTTTCAAGTCTGACTTTGGATCTTTAGACGAGAAGTCCATTTTCTTGTAACTAATAAGCACCTACAACTAGTAAGGTGATCATCTTTATTATGTTGAATAGTGAAAAATGATGGAATCTCCCTGTCTCAGAGAAATGTTGTGGATTGTCATCTATTAAGTAAATCGGTGAAAATCTCATATCTGTTACTTTTGGGCTCTGAAGCCTTTTCTATAGGAATATTACCAGAAAGCAACCAGCTAGCAACCAGTTTCCTCGGATTGTGCTCATTGACAGACTCATTCATACTGATGGCAGAGTGCTGGCAACAATCTGTCTGCACTCATTAATAAAATAGCACCTTCTGTGAGAGTGATTGCAGTTAAGTCAGACTGCAACTGTTTGCAGAAAGGTTGCCTCCTTTCAGGCGATCTGTGCAATCGCCTTCCAATCACAAGTTGTTCGGAAGGCGATTGCAACCAATCAGTCACAGCACATTGCAATCTGGTGCAGAATGACAGAAGTTCAATTCAATCCAATTCAATTTCATTTATATAGCGCCAAATCACAACAACAGTCGCTTCAAGGCAAGTCAAGGCAATTAACAGGCAGCCAGCACAGATGTCCTACTTTTTATCATTTGACTGATCCATTAGCGTGCTCTGAGTTAGCTTTTTGATACCAAGTGTGTCCAATGTCGGATGGTTTTTCGGTTGAATAGATGTAATGTAAGCTTGCTAACACTATTTCAGGATTTTGGTGCATAAGATGAGCTCTCTTGTTCATAGTATTCCCAATGTATTTCATTTTATTGAGCTAGCATTGGCAACATCCGGTCTTCCCTCTGTAAAGCCTTGCAGCCATGGTGGTAACTGTTGTGGATGAGAATTGTGGACAGGACTATGGATAAAGTTATTCTTCAGATTGTCTATTACTGTACACCAACGTCAGTTTAAATCTTGCTGTAGTTTCCTGTCAGTGTAATTTTTTTATATCAGTCAATATCAATAAAAATATCATAGTTAGTAGTGCTATTGTCATTATCATTTGGCCTTTCATGTTTTCTGTCAATGAACTCTTAATAGAAATATAAAGTTCACAGAAGCCATATTTCTATTGAAGAAATGTGTTTCACAATAATGATTTTAATAGTTTGATCGCTCAGCCCTACTTTCAGTTGCCCACGGCCACACTTTGGCATATGGACCGGGGAGCTTAGTATCAACCCACTGACCCTTTGATTACTTGGCAACCGTCTCTACCTTGTGAGCCACAGATGATAATGAAACTCGTTACGAGGTATTTCATGTGCTTAAGCCTACCAATTTGAGCGCTTTTTCTATATAGCTCAAAAATGAAGGATACCTTAAATGACACATCAGATCTTGATAAATTAAAGGGTTCTTTTGAAAAAGGGTCATTAGAATTTTATGCTATTTATGCCTTTTTTTGCTGCTCTTTTTTAAACTTATTCTTTTTAAACTGTATTGCTTATTGCACTGTAGAGGCTGGTGAGGAACAGTATTTCGTTTCAGGCTGGGTAACACCATAAGGAATGATAATAAACTTCTTTAGTCTTCTTGAGAAGTCATGATCATCAACCCTTTGAGGTACAGATTTAAAACATTAAAGACTTCCCTTTATTTTATTTATGTATTTATTTCTTTGGAATCTTGCAGAAGCAAATTTATGAGAGAAAAGGCTGTGGAAACACGAGCACACTTCTCTTCGACGCCGATGCTGTCGATAAAATGTCAATAGTTGCCACCAGGGTTTGCTGCAGGCCAGGATGCGTCGCATATATTGCCCCAAACTAACAGAGTCATGTGCTATTCTTGGCTGACTTTTTAAAATTGCCAAGCATTCCTGTTGAGCAGCTAATTAATAAAAAGATCTATTAGCCGCCATATGAAAACAGTGTACATGATAGAATCCCTGCAGTAGCTCGGATACGTTCATATCTGACAGCATGATTCTCCCTGACTGCCTGTCACGCAGCCCTTTTCTGTCTGGCTGCTTGTTTATCTGTCTTTATTGCAAACTATTTATAAATCCCACTGTTTGTCTGTCTAACTTTCAGTCTGTCATTTGTGGGTACTTGTCACTGAAGGCAGTCACGTCCTAAAGTTTTTCTGTGTACACAGTGAGAGTCATAAACATCTTTTTCAGGTCACTCTGTGGTTTCGGTAACAACGCTTTGACTCATTTGGCGCGTTTGTATATTTGTTCATTCATGCATCTGAGCATAATTGATTGTCACATTTCGGGTGCAGGTGAATTGTCAGCTGTTCTCGGCTTTGTTGTGTCAGCTGATTGTTATTTTTAGTGTGAGTGATGCAAGGGTCGTTGGGTTTTACAGACGTGCCACCTGGAGCCACAGTGGCAGGCAGATTGGACTGGCTGAGAGTGTGAAAACGCCCAGACTGTGATTCATCAAGACCGTGTTGTGATTCCTCGAGGCTTTGTCCTCTTCAGAAAAATGCAAACCATTTGTTAGAGCACAGATAAATGTTTCCCTGACAGCAAGGCTTTTTAGGGATGGGAGCGACGGGATGGAATGAAACGGTGAGAACTGGGGATGGTTTGGGGGAAAAGTGAGGTAAAATATTTTATTTGTATCTGTTTTTTCACTTAAATCAACCTAAAGGTAGGGAAATATGAGGCGGGAATAAAACTAACCCACACAACTTCAGAAATTTACAAAACCTTCACACTGCGCCTAACTAAAATAGACAATTAAATTAAATGTGATCTCCAAAAAAAGCTACTAACTATTCAGTAAATCCTTTTATTAGTGATCTTCAATAAATATTACCACTGTTTTGTCTACGCTTATGAAAGATGAATTCATAATTTAATTATTTAATTAACGTCTCACTAAATTAAGTGAGACTTTAATTCTTATGAGCATTATAAAACTTCCAGAGGTAACCAGAGGTAATTCTGACCTTTTAGCCACTGATCAATGTATTAGCAGACTGATATTTTTTCAAATTTATAATAGCCAGTAAATAAATCTTAAAACTGTAAAGAAGAGATGGCGGGTGTGTTGATGTTGCATAATTCGTCCACAAGAGGGCACTCTCAGTTTCCTTGTTGGCAATGCACCTGTTTGGAAGGACAAACACAGTGGGCAGTGTGTAAACAAATAAATAAACAAATGTAACAAATTTTAGGGAAATCTTTTTGAGTTTTTGTATCTAAAGAAAAAAGACTAAAATTGGGAATTATATTAGAATATCAGCATCTGTCTTAAAAAGTCCTACATCAGTCCTGTATGTCGATGTTGCCATTAACATAAAAACCAGGATGTCACACATTCAGAATGTCAAAAAAACGAAGAAACACACAAACGAATGGCAATACTCGAGACTTAGGGTCTAATTTAAAAGAGCTCCTGTCTCATCTCCTTCACCTGCTTCTCGCCTCTCATGTGAGCTATTATGCATCATCTAAAATCAAATAAAATGTTAAAGATTTGCATTTTCTTTCTTTAAGGAAGTACAGGATAATGACTACCATTTAAAACACTGAATTCGTTTCAGCAGTTGAAATTACAAGTTACAGCGCGCTGGACCTCAATGTGAACCAGCGGTCTGCTTCACAAAAAGGATGGCATAATAAGCTGGCAATATAGTTTTATACCACAACAAAAACAAGAATTATCATGGGAAATGACATGGCGGTCCTTCTGCCTCCCGTCTGACCTCGTCTGCATCTGCTCCTTTCCTGGAAAAAGACACCTCCCTAGCCTAACCTTGCTGCATTAAAATCAGCTAGCAATTCTTAGCCTGTTGTTTTCTACTTATTATCCAAGTCCGGGACAATCTGTTCAGACTCTCTTGGACCAGAAAAATTTCACCCTGACTTTAACTAGTTATGATGTGTAAGCATGTTTGCAAAATCCCTCTGCACCTCAACATGTCAGCCTCAATAATTCAATTCAATCATAGCACTGAATTGATCCTTTTGACCCTATTTACACAGAGTGCCAACTCTTAATGAGCGCAAAGACAATGAGTATATAATAATCACAAAAAACAGCTTTACTTAATCATTTTATTCCTAACAGGTATGACTTTATAACTTTAGACAAACAGCTTTGACCTGTGATGCCAAAAAAGAGCAATAAAGTCTTTCATTTTTTCTATATCAGTCGTACGGTTTTTCTATTCCAAAACACGATAACACATTTTTTTTAATTGCTCAGATACATATCATGGATCAGCCTATCCGCTGTCTTTAATGCCTTTTAAGGTCTTTAACATTAACTTTGAAAGCAGCCCTGAACGTTGTGTGGGATATCTGGTTAAGTCAAGCTACCGAAGCTTAACCAGATCTTAACCTTTGAAGTAGCAGACGACAAGAAATTGTTTCTAATTTGATATATTTTCTGTGATACTTATGTTTTGTGATTATTGCCAACAGAGACAATACCCCAGTTTATTTCTGGGGGGGTTTTTTTCCATCAGATTATTCTTCCAGACTTTGCTGGCTTGCTATTTATAATATTCATCCGGTACTTATCAATCAGTCTCTTTACATTTTTTTCATTATATTTTTCCTACATGAACTTATGCAGTAAATAACCAAACAAATTGTTTGGGGGGGTCTGATATGATGAGAAGACATTGTGCAACAGACAACATCACGAGTGAGTTTCCCCACATTTTAATATGTAAGAAAATATCAGAGGATCGGGGCGTTTGTCATCACTGCAAAGTTTATTTGTGTGTTGAAATGTTAAAGGTTGTGGAGCAGCACAGGATAGTCTGACAGTCAAGCAGCAGCTGATACGGGTAGCCTGCTCCTTCTACTGGTTAATGCCTGATTCAGTGCTGGTTGTCCAGCCACGCTGAAGGGTGAACGGTTTGATTGTGCACCAAAGTTCCACAAAAGCAAGCGGAGGCAAAATCCACTCAGTGATGACGCATAGTTCAGACTCACTTTTTTATGACGACTGTCTTTCAAGCCTTTTTTGCAGCCAGATGCCTTGTTATCCCAGACTGTGGATTTGTCTAAAAAGCTTAATATCTACTATCAAAATCAGTCCTCCAATGATAAACCTGTGCCTCAGACTTATATAACTTTTCACTATTCCAGTGTACGTATGTGGGATGACAGCACATTTCTATAGGACTTTTCAAAAAGAACATCTTAAAATGATGTTCTCTGATGATCAGAGACTCAAGCACAATTGAAATCTGCATGTGTGTGTGTGAGTATTTTCATGTGGTGGTAGTACAGGTAACTGCCCAAAGTGCTTATTTAATGTTTAGTAAATGTAAAAAAAAAAACAACAACCCAACAAAACACAGAAAGTGGCAGAACAAGCTGTTCTTGGCCGCTAGATAACTAACTGCCTCCCACATGCACACACACACTCACACTCAGGGATTTGCTTGACAATGTGGAGCACTGGGATGTGAAACAGGATCTTCCGTGTCCTCTCACCGTCACTGACACAAGTAAATGAGTCAGCATGCATGACTGTTTGTGTCACTGATTTGTATGTGTGTGTGTGTTTCACATGTGCTCGTCCGCGATAGCGTGCGACTGTTGTGAGCGAGTGCAGAAACCCTGGGGCGATATCCACAGAGCGCAGCTCTCCCGCCTTTTGCGAGAAACAGAAAAGGAAACACGAAGCGGTGGCATGGAGCTGTTCTCGGGCTCTTATTCAGGTGCTATAAAAGTGTCTGACATATCTGAGTCTACATTAAGCGTCGCAGAATGTGGAGCGCTCGCCCACCGAGTGCAGCATGTTCTGTTTTATGACACAGAAGAGAGAGACAGAGAGAGCAGGAGAACGAGTAAAAATACACCCAGCTCCTGGGAGACGGTCTCTATGGCAGCGGTTACCGTGGCGACAGTGAGGCTGCACGTGAAGCGATGGCTGTCATGGCACCCCTAGGGGAATTCACCCTCTTGAGCTGCTGGAGGACATGCACAGATATTCACAAACACACAAGCTTGAATGAAGAGCAGAGGGAGGAGGAAAGCGACCGCTCGAGGGGAAATTCAGGAGAACTGCCGATCGCTCGCTAGCTGTGGTAAAAACTTAACTCTGGGGGACTGCCGAGCTAAAGCAGAGTTTGCTTGAACATTTTATGAAGCTATATAATTTTAAAAGTAAATATTTTTACCAGCTCAGACAGTGCAGTTGAGTTTTGTGTGACATTTCAGCAAAGTGTCCTGCAATTCAGTAGTTGGGGCCAACGTTAAAGATGGTTTGTTTTGACTTATTAGTAGACAATAAAGGGGGGGTCAAAAGTAGTTTTTGTGACTCTGTGAAAAAGGTATGTGAAGAAATATTTCTTACATTGCTTGGTGTGTTCCCAGTGCTTACTGTATATGTACACTGCACAGCCAAAAAACAAAAAGTCCCACACTCTAATATTTTCTGGGACTGCCTTTAGTTTTATAGGCACTACACACTCACTGAGGAATTGTTTCGAGATATTTACAAAGTGTATTTAAATATTTTTTCAACAAGATCTTGTAACCATGATGGGGCAGTCAGACTGCTAAAGTCTTCTGCAGCACATCCAGAAGATTCTCAGTGGGTCTAAGGTCAGGTCTCTGGTGATCCCTGAGCCAGTGAATTCTGTCATCTGTCATCTTGGAACGTGCTCGTGCCGTCAGGGATGAAAAAAAAAAATATTGATGGAAAATCCTGGTCAGTCAGTACAGTATATTTAGCAGAAAAACAATTATGTCTTTTTTTTATTAACAAACACCTGATCATTTCAGTGTGGGCATTGACGGTGAAGGGAGGGAGGCAGGACAAAAGACACACTGTGGAAGAGAGCCAGAGATTAATAACAACTAATAATTAAATGCAGAGCATAGTATTAAACACACAGAGAGTATAAAGAGGTGAATGAAGAAAAGAAACACTCAGTGCATCATGGGAAGCCCTCAGCAGCCTAGGCTTATAGCAGCATAACTAAGGGAGGATACAAGGTCATCTGATCCAGCACTAACTATAGCCCTTGATAAACTGTAAGGACCTTTTCACATAATGAAGTCTGCACATTTTTACCAATACTGCTGCATTTTTACTTTCTCCTGAGTTGGATTTTTGGCTCTCTCTCGAGTATTTTTAACAGCGTGCAGTGTGGCGTTAATACTTCTTCATCACAGTCTTCTTCTTTTTCACCCGCTGCTGGTGTGTAAAAGTGTACATGTGTGGAGGTGCTTAAGTCTGTGCGTGTGCACATGTGGGCGGGTGTATGTTACAGTAGCAGTTCTTGTAAAACTTCTCACTACATCTTTGTTTTCTGTTTTATGTCATAATTATTATGATGATTACCAAAGCTATTTAAATGTGTGTGTGTGTGGGGGGGACTTGCACTTGCACATGAAGCATTGCCTCTGCAGAGTCAGTCTGCTCCGTCATGCTGTTTCCATAGCAGCAGCAAGAGCCAACACAGCCAACCACGCTCACTTCCTTGTTTCATCCTATTGGTACTGGCTCATTCTGACTCCCATCCAAATTGTATTTCTTTTTTTTTTTCTTTTTTTTTGTGCTGCATGCTATCTGGATGTCTGGGCAGGACTGGACACACTTCGGCACCCCCTTTACATTCACTCTAGCAGAGGTGATCAGTGTGTTAGAAATAAAGACAAAACCTAACAATGACTAAAATATTTCACTGCATCCATGAATGGACACGTGGCCAAGTCCTTTGCACTGTTATATTGATATATGGGTCATACAGAGCGGTCTTCATCCTTGTTATTTGTCTTTTGGTGTGATATCTGTTGTGAACAGTGGCAGCACAGCACCCTCTTCTTTTCCTCATGAACTTCAGATAATCAGTCTGTGCAGGTGTCTGTGTCATGAAGGTGACTGCCCACAAAAGTCTCTCACTGCTGCCCACGTAACCCCCCCCCCCCCCCCCCCCCCCCCCCCCCCCCCCCCCCCCCCCCCCCCCCCCCCCCCCCCCCCCCCCCCCCCCCCCCCCCCACCCCCCCCCCCCCCCCCCCCCCCCCCCCCACCCCCACACACCCATATTTGCTATTTGTCACCCTGCTGTTGTTAATACTTGCCTGGGCGACATCAGCTCCTCTCTCTCGTTCCCTCTCCGCTCCGTTGACAAAAAGCTGTTATTTTTAGTCTACTCTGTCTTTGTAAATTAAGCTGTTACATCCATAACCGTGAGGGCAGAGCAGGCAGCTGCACTATCAGTAGCTTATAGAAACAGATTTCTTAGCAGACGGCGAGCTCATATTTTGCACATGTTTTCAAGACAAAAGTTATTTTTCTGTGCTCCTTTTAGTGAGTTCTGTAATTACTCAAAGTCACCTCAGTCAGGAAAACAAATGTTTTTGCTTATGTGTGATGGATCACACAAACACACACACAATGAATAACGATAACTAAAGCCAAACCTCCAGAGTCAAAAAAGGCACGTTATAGATGGAAAATGAGTTTTAACAAACTCTGATTTGTGGGTCACGTCACCTGTGGTTAGTGTTACTGGTTTCTTTGGAACATAATACTGGGCCATCTGGCTTAATGATTCGAGGATGCTGTAGACACTGAAACTGATTTTGCATGTTTGCTAATTATGTATTTTTAAGCCCAACAAGCAGTCCGCCTGCCTTCTTACTCAGCCACTGAGAAGATCCTTAGTGCAGTGTAACCACGATGGAGTGTGTCAGCTGACTTCTGCCGCCTGTGCTCAGACAGCCACACTAGCAAGCTGATGTTCTAGCAAGCTGAGCGTGGACACATGTAGTGTGTTACCTCTTTGTTTAGGCATCTTTATATTGCAGAGAATCTAATAAAGATTGTAAAGAGCAGCAGGATGTATTGACCTGTGGTGTAGTTTGCTCCAGGCCCGGATACTGTTAACATTAAATGTTTCTGAGAAAATGCTGTTGGGACAGCAATGTTAAGTCCCAGCCAAAATGGTTGTGGTTTGATTGGGGAACTTAATTATAAAGCAGATGACCAGAGGGCACATTGTTTCCAAGTCAGGCCCTTTCTTAGAAATCAGGAAATATGGATCACATCAGTGTAGTTGTGTAGCTATGAAAAAAAGCAAAGCAATACATCTGTATGTGTTTTCTTTAATATATTTGATAGAGAGTCTTTTTGGTAGTTTATTTGGTAGTTAGGGTTGGATCAGGTGACCCTGAATCCTCCCTTAGTTACACTGCAATAGGTCTGGGCTGCTTGGGGCTTCCCATCAGTGTTTCTTTTTCACTCGCTATATGTTTATACACCACTCTGCATTTAATCAGTAGTTATTATTCATCTCTGGCTCTTTTCAGCATGTCTTTGACCTGTTTTCCTCCCCTTACCCCAACCAGTCATGACAGGTTGCTGCCCCTCCCTGAGCCTGCTTCCTGCAGAGGTGTTTTTCCTGTTTAAAGGAAGGTTTTCCTCCCCACTGTCGCCAAAGTGCATGCTCAAAGGGGATCATATTATTGCTTGGGTTTTCTTGTTTTCTTTGTATTGTTATAGGATCTTTACCTTACAATATAAAGCACCTTAAAGCAGTTGTTGTGATTTAGCACTATAAGTAAAACTGAATTGAATTGAACTGAATAGTGCCGCGCAGTACTGCACTGTAATACTTTCAATAAAAGGTAGACATCTGATGTTAGCATGGTTTACAGTTCTCATATCTAGAAGAGATATAGCATTAATATTCCATAATATGCAGTGTACATCATGATTATATTGATTATACAGTTTATGTCACAGTAGTGTAATTAACACATCAATTTCTTCAAAGTCTCCAAAGTGACGTAGTTAGTTATATATTTAAAAAATATATAAGAAAACATTAGGTTAAAACTTCTTACACTTTCTTAATAGCATCCACGCTATTTGCTTTAAAACTACACTCTCCAGCCACTTTATTAGGTACACCTAATTAACACAAATTAGCCAGTCACATGGCAGCAACTACTTGCATTCAGAAATGTTGAATGTGGGAAGAAAAGTAATTTTAGTGACATTGAATGTGGGAAAGTTCTCGGTACATTTCAGAAACTGCAAAGCAGGAAAGCATGGATCCATCTGGCCTTGTATCGATATTTCAGGATGATAGTGGTGTAATAGTGTGGAAGATATTTTTTCGTTGTACTTTGGGCCCATTAGTGCCAACTGAGCCTTGTTTAAACACCACAACCTACCTGAGTATTGTTGCTGACCATGTCCATCTCTTTACAACCACAGTGTAGCCAACTTCTAATGGATTCTTCCGGCAAGCTAACATGCCATGTCACAAAGCCCAGTTTAGGCTCAAATGGCCTCCGATGGCCCTGATTTTAATCCAGTAGAGCACGTTTTGGATGTGGTGTAACAGCATATTCACACTGTGCATGTGCAGCTGATAAATCTGCAGCAAATATGACATGCTATCATATCAACATGGACAAAGATCTTTGAGGAATGTTTCAAGCATTTTATTGAATCTATTTCACAAATAATTAAGGCAGGTGTAACTACTGAAGTGGCCGAGTATCTGCGGTAAAAAATAATACACAGACAAGCCGCCGCCAAACAGCATCGTGAGAAGCACTGACTGCCGGGTTTACACATAGAATAGGCAAACAGTAAATGTCAGCTGGCCTCATTACACCTGCACTGAGCATGACTGTGGATAAGGATGCATTGATTTTAATGGTCCAGTCCTTTTAGATAAACAGTCCTGCAGGATCTGCGACCTTTTTATCTGATTTCAGTGGCTTGCAAAAAGCTAGAGCAGATAACACAGTGTACTCGCAATGTTCAAGATTACTCTCTCTATCGTCTGAATTCATCTGGTCTCGCTGTGCTGGACATGTGTGTGTTTATAGCCAGATAAAGCTGCAGGTCTTATCTCTGAGCCTCCTGGTGTTCCTCTCACTGCTCTCTACACCTTCTTATTTTCACGTTCTCTCTTTAGTTTCCTCATCTCTTTCTTTTCATGACACTGTGCAGCTTCTCATCGCATCCAGTTGCTGTTGTGCTCGATGGCAGTTGAAGATCAAGCAGGAAATTGAAGTCCAATCACTGAAAACTCGCTCTTTGTTCTGTTTGAAAGGGCTG